TAATTATCATTGTTTATTAGAAAAAGTAATACAATGTATGTTTACAAAAGCTCCAGAGCAAAAACACGCATAAGCAAGAAATATGTAAATTTGTAAATGCTGAAACGATATAAGAAAATAGATATGGACGGAGACAGATGTCAGGCACGACGCAGTTGTTTGCGCAACGGGAAGTTCAAGGCATCTCGATTCTTGTTTACATAATATTACCCTCACAAATTACACACGTTTCTTTGATTAGGCGAGTCTAGGCCACATAATTTACGATCATTGGCAAACTCAAACAATAATTCACCTTTTCAAACGAATAGTATACATATTGTTGCAAAAGGTGAATTTCTAAATATAACAAGTAACGTAAAATATGCATTGCTGGTTATAACTAGGTGACAAATAGCACTAAAAAACTATTAAAACTAACTTTTACAGTTGGTAAGCATCTAACAAGGGAGTATATTCAATGGGCACATTAAATGGGGAATTCCTTTCTCCGCGTCAAAAGTGTGGTTTCTTAATCATTTTTTTTTTTATGAGTATGTAAGATTTTAATTTGAAATTTTAGCCACGTCTATAGTATTATTTTAGTACGATGTACAAATTTGTTAATGTCACCGTGCCCCATTGACCGTGACGCCGCAGTGGAAACATTGGCCGCTGATTGAGTTGATTTCTACCGTTCAAATGAACTGAAGTAACTAAATAAATTCAGTAAAATAGATATTGAACTATTCCGCTTTAAACGAAACATTCTATATATGTATGTATACATGTACTACCAGGCAAAAAGTTTTCGACCGCTTCGATATTTGCGAAAAATGTTAAAGTAAATGTAAAGGAGGTGGCAAGTTTGAATTATGTTAAACATTTATTCATAGATTGTCGCACTAAAATATAAAAATTGTGTTTCTTAATATGTGGACGGTTTTTAGAAGTGACACCTATAAATTTCAACTGCTTACATCTCCCTATTAGGGGACACCCTGTATATATGAGACTGAAATTTCATCAAGAATCAGTATAATGGAACTGTTTCGTAATCGCATTGTTGTGTTTCTGTTACAGACGAATTGCCATATTTACAAGTACCGCTACACACTATAATTAAATTAACACCTGTTGCCTACGGTTGTAAAGTGGAGCACATTCGACTACCCATCGACGCAGTGAACACACACCGGCCGAAACCAAAGGTAGACACGATCAGAATTGAATTATAGCAATCGTCCTGTACCCATTGTAGATCTATCCCAAGCATACGTGTACTATGCTGTCCAAAGATTTAAAAAGAAGAAAAAAAGAGAAAGAAAAATAACAAACCAAGATATTTTCCACTTACCTACTGCTCTCAATAAAATACCACAGTTCCTTATGTTTCTTGTTTTAATGTTCCCAGAATGCCTGACCATTAGAGTGGATTGGGATCTCTTTCTTGTACCTAATATTGAATCTAATGTGTCCTAAAGTCATCTACTCTCTTCAGTTTCAAGCTTGCAAATTAAAATTGCGCATTGCATGCATTTCTCTACATTAGAATAGTATACAACCATACGAATACAATCTAATACGTTGCGACACGCACATATTATTGTACTGTTGTAACATAATAACAGTTCCATGTAAATATATAAGATGCTGGATGTTACATGTTACAAGCTAGACATCCGCCTCGTTTTAAGAAAACATGAATGTACACATCTATAATTAAAGGACAACATCGCAATGAATCACTAAGGAGTCGTATTTACGATAATTTTTAAATATAAATCACGTATCCTTTGCGGTAAACGTTTTGTTTATGTGGAATGTAAATCGTCGTAGCGAATAAGTACTGTGAATGTTTATCCGTTGTTGAACAAAACACTTTTGTCTATCATGTTGTGATATGAACGTGTATGGTGCATCTTCTATTAGCGGTACGACACTGTGACTATAGAATTTGTCACTCAAACATTGCTTGATAACACGCGCACATACTTTTTTCCTCTTCTATAACAGTGCTGTGAAAAAATATAATTATTGCATCTTCCAGGACAGTATTTTCTCTAATTTGTCAAAACGAATAAATAATAAAAAGAAAAAACTCAACATTTCACCTCATACATTTTTCAGGCCTCTTTTGGAATATGTACAATAGACGAGTGAATACATTTATAAAATATAAAGCGAGTAAATTAATAAAAAGATAAGATATATATAGTACTCGTTCTTTTCTTTCACAGACTTTCGAAATGTTCTAAAAAAATGTATGGGGACAGTGGTTTTGATAAACTAAACAAAATATCGTTCTAAAAAGTTCAATGATTATATTTGTTCGAAATACTGTTATCAATGAATATGCAACAAAATAAAAACAAATTCTTTTATTCTCAAACACTTTTCTTTTTTCTTTGTTAATCTAGATGTAATAGAGTAGTAGCTGTTTCTTAGCGTATCCGTGGACTATCACGCAAATGTTATAACCGGTCCTTATGAAACTATTTTCAGATCCCAGGATATCTAGAGGAACAATTCCGAAGGAAAGGAAAGTTGCTTCACACGTGATAACGACGACGTTATAGCAGTGCAGAACTAATTCTTGTGATCGTTACGAGATGCTGAAGACACGCATTCTTTTGGCAGCTGGCTGCCTTTGCACGTTCGGTGCAACGCGCATCCCCTCTTTTACCTTACGCTCCGTATAATTTAGATAAAAAGCATACCCAACGGCATCCGACAATGTATCCTGTACAAATCACGCGACCAAAAGATACCTTTCTTTTTCTGTTTTCGAACCGTACACGTCGTATACTAGTACTACAACAAGCGTGCGTACACATTTTAACTTTTATACCTTTACGAATTCATCTCTGGAAGAGCAGAGAGATTTAGTGAAATAACTGACTAACGGGGAGAGTATTGCGAACATTGAGCGCATATGCAACCACTTACGTATATCAATTTCAATCTGGAATTTTAACGAATATCAAATTTAATGTCCTGACGGCTACATTCGAAGGTTCAAATTACATTAGGTCTTGCGATTTACATAAAGCTTCACATTGTTTAACTCTCTATCCTATGAATTTTATTTTTTTCTTCGTAAAAAGAATTATTCCTTAATTATTTATTAGCTTTTAAATTAATGAATACTCACTCTAATAAATGGCTGAATCTACATATATGGCTATTAGACGTTTACATTAAAAAACGTTATGCTTAGTTTCTGTGAAATTTCACCAACTAAATTTACAAGATTTGTTTTCATTAGGTTTGCGATTTACGCGATAGAGGGTTATATAAATTTAGTCGTCAACAAAACTAATGGTTGATTTATAAAGATATTTCCCCAAACATACATAGTGTTTATATAATAACGTTTCATATATTTTACAGAAGTGTTTTATCGGTACTGTGTTCCGACAATTGTTAACTGATATAGTTGTATACGTCGATCAGGAAATAATTAGATGTTGACGTGTTTAAAAGCTATTGTCTTGACCAAGAATCATACTATATTTCAAAACAAAAGTTAATCGTCTTATGTAATAATCTAGTTGCCGGTATGAGGGAATAGGTTTCATCAGAATGTTTTTATTAAGATGATCGAATGACATGAAAGACGAATAGGAAACATTCTGGACTATAATTTATTTCGAGAGAAGTGTACATATTTTTTTAATACCTTTCATGACAGAAGAAATACAATTACTTGAAAACAATATTCTGCATTTTTTAATTTCAAATCCCTACTATAAGTATAAATGAATAACTCGGAGATTACAATTATGATCGGTTTGAGAGATCAAGGATTGACCAATGAGTGCGGAATAACTCCAACTTTTTCCAAAACTGTTTCAGATAATTTACATTATTATTACAATATTAGCGAAGGTTGTAAATAATATAAATAAAAATTAATGTGTTCATGATGCTAAAATGAGATTTATAGAAGCTGAAAATCTTCTAATACAATATTTAAAGAATTTATATTTTATACCTGAAATGCAATAATGATTACTGTTGTCATTTACTGACAAAAGATCGAACTTGATGATACAAAAATTAAATTTACAGTATCGACAAAACATTTGTCATCTAGATAGCTTTCTATGATTGGTTATCCATCTGACGTTATGTTCATCACTATTGCATCTTATGTAATATGCAAACATATACGTATTCTCACTATTTGTTAACTATATATTTAAAAAAATTCATTTTAATTATGCCTAATTTGATCCGTAAGTCCATGAACATATAATTATATTCGTTAGTTTGCTGATACTGTAATATAATACATCAATATGTGCAATACTTGAGTAATACTAAAGACTTACATAATGAGAACAAAAAATAAGCCACATAGTACAATAATACTGACATTGAAGGATTTTCTAATAAATAGATTACATAAAAATTTGTAAAACTAGTATAATTTTGAATTTTACATTGTAACAAAGAAGAGATTTCCCGAAATTCTCAAATGTTTAGAGCGAAGCAATAAAATAGAACAAAATGCCATGAAATTAATAAACATTCTCTCACATCCACGGACATAGGAACAGGGCTGGTTTTAGCAATATTGGCGCCCCGGGCAAGATTATTGTGGTGCCCCTTTAGGGGTATATACAGGGTGTCCCAGAAATGTTGTAACACCTTGAAAGGGATGGTTCAGGAGGTGATTTCAAACAACTTTTTCCTTAGCGAAAATGTTGTCAGAGGTTTCGTTGAGGAGATATTAAGCGAAAACCCCGACCAATCAGAGCGCGAGTATGTCGGTTGAGCGTAGACTACGCGATAGGTGGCCAGGCTCATACGCTACCGCGGCCACTCCAAAGGTGTCTCCGACAACATTTTCGCTAAGGAAAAAGTTGTTTCAAATCATCTCCCGAACCACCTCTTTCAAGGTGTTACAACATTTTTGGGACACTCTGTATATCGGTATATTTGTATACTAGGGATACCGGATTGCGACGCCTCCAAATATCTGGCGTCCCGGGCTGTTGCCCGACCGCGCCCCCCCCCCCCCCCCAACGCCGGCTCTTCATACTATGAAGTTCATAGGAACATAATGTCCGTGCTCACATCACGTATGTTTACATTCGATATGACGCCCAGGTGACGCCAAAGTAGCTCCAATGAAAATGTCATCTTTGTGTTGACATTTTGCAATATTCATCATTATTTTTAAATGTAATGTGACGAAAGCTGCAACTAATCGGAATGATGGCAACCACCAATGAGTTTGGTCCCGACTCTGGAGGCAGGATAAAGGTACATTGTTTTAATAAAATTTATAAAAGATACACGATGATTTTATATTTCTAACCTACAACTCTTATCACATTTGCGAAAGAAATTTTCGAATTGGAGACGAACATTAATTATTCGAGTGTTTCAAATCTAGTAAAAGTCAAGATAATAGACATTTAAACAGTGTTAGCATAGCATTTACAATACTCTTATCATATAAACGCATATCTGAATTTGCATTTCAATAATTGATCATTCGAGTAATCAAATCTGGGATAACCAATCTTTACTGTAACATCGTTGAACTTTCTTATAGGGAGTTACGATAGTGAAGCCCATAGTGTATGGTAATATAGCTCGGTACTTTGGCAAAAAGAGAGAAGAGGATGGACACACTCATCAATGGACAGTTTATGTTAAACCGTATCATAACGAAGATATGTCTACATATGTAAAAAAGGTTCATTTCAAATTACACGAAAGCTATAATAACCCAAATCGTATTATGACAAAACCACCATACGAACTCACTGAGACTGGTTGGGGAGAATTTGAAATTGTCATTAAAATATATTTTCATGATCCTAACGAACGTCCTGTGAGTACATCTTTGTAATACAGGTAATATAACCAAAAACATGTTCATTTAAAGAATTGTATTTTAAATAGGTAACTATATATCATATATTAAAACTGTTCCAAACAACACCCGACATACAAATGGGCAAAAAGAGCTTAGTCTCTGAATTTTATGAAGAAATAGTTTTTCAAGATCCGACAGCACTGATGCAACATTTATTGACATCTGGTAGACCTGTAACTCTTGGCGTCTGGCGTCATAATACAGACTGTATGTATATAGGAACTATCAATACCAATATATTATTACATATGTATATAAAATTATATTTTTTATTGTGGAGTTGAAGCTAAAAAAGAATCCACGATGAAAGCAGTAATGGAAGCAAGAAACAAAATAAGACTGGAAGTTATAGATCTCAAAGAAAAATTAACGCTAGCAAAAGAGACAATCGCTAAGTTTAAGGAAGAAATTGCCAAGATTTCAAAGGCTGGCGGCAGTTTGTCCATTGCGTAATTAAAAAAATTATCAATAAAATTGTAAGATATATGATCAATTCTAAAACGAATCCAACTGATTTTTTACGATTGATTAACATGTAAATAGATTCATTGTTAGGTGATTTTTAATTTAATAAAACAGCTGATATTAAAAGTGTATCATCATTTTGATATGATGAATACAAAAATTCAGCGAAGGTTAAAGGAATGTAACTATGTAATCTTGCACAGTTATATAAGATTACAAAAAAGTGTCGCTTATTTCGTTAGAAACCGTATGCGCACTCAAAATAGGTACTTGAAAAATGCTAGAGTTTCGTCTCTACAAGAGTAATTGTAGTTTCACATTTCACTAAAACCAGAGCTGTAAATTCTTAATTACAATTACAAAACGATTACTTGACCAAGTAATTGAATAATTGCCATTACAATTACTCTGTCCCACGTAATGGTATTTCCAATTACTTAGTTACTACCAGTAATCCCATGCATTACTTAATAATTACTTATAACGGCCCAGAAAGTAATTAAAAGGCGTCTCAAATCTAAAGTAGTCAAAAATACCTAAAAGTAATTAAAAATTAATTATAACTACTTTTTTAATTACTTTCAAGTCATTGCAGTGACATGGACAGTAATTGTTAAAAGTAATGATTACTGTCTTCCAATTATTTGTAATTACTTTTGCTCAAATCTAAAGTAGTTAAGTATACTTAAAAGTAATTAGAAGTCAGTAATCATTACTTTTAACAATTACTGTCCATGTAACTGCAATTACTTGAAAGTAATTAAAAAAGTAGTTATAATTACTTTTTAATTACTATCTGGGCAGTTATAAGTAAGTATTAAAAAGTAATTGAAAATAAGATATTGCATAATTACTAAAAAAAATGTAATCAACAATTACTTAAATAATTACTTTCTAATTCCAAAGTAATTGTTCCAAATTGTAATAAATTCCAAAATAATCATTACTTTACAGTTCTGACTAAAACCTACGATATCTCTATGATTATACAGGGTGTCCAAAAATGTTGTAACACTTTGAAAGGGGTGGTTTGGGAGGTGATTTGAAACAACTTTCAGAAAACCCTGAGCAGTTAGAGCGCGAGTATGTCGGTTGAGCATCCGTGGTAGCGTACGAGAGCGGCCACTTAGCGCGTAGCCTTCGCTACCGCGGCCGCTCTAACGGTATACGCGCGCTCTGATTGGTCAGTGTTTTCCGTTTATATCTCCTCAACGAAGTCTCGTACAACATTTTCGCTAAGGAAAAGGTTGTTTCAAATCACCTCCCGAACCACCCCTTTCAAGGTGTTACAACATGTTTGGGACACTATGTATATCTTACGATATGTTACAGAGCATGCGCATAATTTAATTTTTATGTTCGAGTTGACTTCAGCAACAGTTGCGGAGAAAGTGGGAAGCTCTGGGACAAGGATAGATAGATCCTTGTCTCTCCAATGATGCTGTGACAGAGAGGAAGATACATCAATCGGAGGAGAGACAAAGACAGAATGATGTTAAACGTTTGCAATTTCCCAAACAGTTATTGTAATATTTGAGGTGATGAAGCGACCTTTCCGGTTGATTTTTTTGTTAAACTGTTCCTTATAAAATTCCGTTGCGGGGGATAGTTACACATTTTACAATTCGCTTTTGAAACGTGCTAAAAATACATTTAAAGACAAGACATTTTTTGTGGGTCTTTTTCCAAAAATCTGTAACTATCCCCCGCAACAGCATTTTACAAGGAACAGTTTAAAAAAAAAATCAGTCAAAAAGGTTGCTTCCTCGCCTCATAAAATTACATTGGTGGTGTCGCTACGATTGAGACGATTCATATGCCAACATAGCTACCTCAATATCGTGCTTTCCACCTCAGCGCTGTCGTCGTCTTCCTTTCTGTTACCGTGTCGACCATCTAAACACGCTTTTCGACTTGTTCGCAGGTATCGTAGTCGGGCCGAGTTTTTTCGCGCACGCGCAGCGAACATAGCATCAATGAAGTATACGCACGACTAAAAAAGTGTATTTTAATTACCCCTGCATAATTTTACTAATATATTCATGATTTATGGACAAATGTAGGACAATATATAAAGACAATATATAAATAATAAGGATAAATATATTCATGATTTCGCGCTCATAGCCACAATAGCTATAGCACCCCATACCTGTTGCCCTGGATACGACACTGTTAATGGTCATTCTGGCAGTACATGGGCGAAAAAACTTGTCCTGGTTGGTATCACTGATCGTAGTATCGTACATAAGATATCGCTAGTTCGATCCCAAGCTGCTGTGTATTTTTTTATTTTTATTTTATACTTTGTTCGGTTGCCGAACATCTTGTATAATTTATAAAAAAAAAAAATTTTGATATAAGAGGTAATATGAAATATAAAATACAAACAAATAGCCGAATACTTTCCTGTTTCGCTGTATGTATATCGTGTTTGGTCTCATTGTAATTATAAAAATCTTACAAATACATTGGAAAAAGTTAGATTTAAAAAAATTAATAAATAAAAAAGTTTTATTGTTTTTATTGCGGCTGGAGCCGCATGTAAACTTAGAATCGACACCTCGGCTGGTTATTATACCTACGTACATTGTATGTGTAACCAAATATTTCGATAAGCTTTGAATCCGTCCAAAGTTTGAAAGCTTCGACGAAGTAGAAAGAGACAGTTTGATGAAGAAGAAAGAGAGACTAACAAGGGAACGGGCCCAGATATGACGCTAATTTTTTGATGAGCCTTTGCACAGTGGAAAACTGAAGCGAATGATATTCAGTTTTGGGGGTAGACGATTTATAGTTTACGTCGTAAACTTTACGAGATATTCAACATAGAAGTTATTATTGGTGCTTACTTGGTGAATTATAAGCGACTGTATCAATAGCGAATTCGGCGTGGTCAGTAAAGCATCAGCATAATAATTCCTCTGTCGCGAGTTCGACTCCCGTTGAAACATTCTTACATTATCTTTTTTTTTTTCACTTCTTTTTAAAAATACATTCGTTAAATATGACTTATTATAACTAATGTTCGGATATATTTCTTAAAACAAACAATTTCCATTTTGAATGTATTATGTACATGAACTTGGGTGATAATTTTCGAAAAAGCAGTGGAAACAAAAATTTTAATCACCATGTACATCGAATGAATGCTTTAGATTCACAACTGCAAAATTGTTTATTTAATTCTACTGGGAATACCGCTTGATTTACGTTAATGATATGTACTCGATTTTTGGATAGCCATGATGCGTACCAAGCATATCTATGTAGAATAGAGATAAATATATTGAAATTCATTATACAAATAGAAACAAGTACAGCAATGTCTCGAAATAAGTAACTCGATCGGGACCGGAAAGTCGCTTATTTCGAAACAGGTATGGTATTCGGCTTGACCGTTCTCGAACGTGACGAGGAGGAACCCGTAGACAAAACAGGGGGTTCGGTGTAGCGGCAAAGTATAAAGTATAAAGTGATCGCTCGAGCACGAGTGTTATACTTTGAAGAATGATAGAAGATAACATGCTTTCTCATTTTAGCACTAGTAAAATCGAACGAATGGAACGTACATGACAACTAACAGTAGTATTCCGGAGAATACACACGCCAGAGAAAGAGAAAACATTACACACATTCTGTCCTCTTTACGCTTGGATTCTGTGCTATCGATGACTATTTCTTCAAAACAATTTGCACGCACAGAATCACTATCCATTTTCAAACTTTCAAACCTTCCTTCATGTGACTGTCACGATAAAACGAAATAAACTTACGACCAAACATAAAAATCGTTGTAAAGACTTACTCACCTACAGCAAGTAGGTATTCCGGCATGATATGTTACGTTAAAAAATTAATTTTAACCTTAAAATATGCGTAAGGTAATATATAATATGCAGTATATAGTACATGATATCCAAAAAGTATATTTCTGATAGATAATTGAAATTAAAAAAAAATACATCAATCGGGATTCGTACCCGTGGTCAAGCAACGTTACAACCTAATACTCTACCAATGTATTCAACGAACCTTGCTAGATGCTTTTATTGTACATCGAAAACAAACACCCATTCTGAAAATAGCCAAAATGGTTTTGCAGTACTACATGCGTACTACGTAATTACATATACTCAAAAATAATGTTCATAAACGTTTTACCTTTTTTATTATACAATATTTTTTACATTGCATACTATCATTACATTCCACAAATAACAATTAGTACTTAATTATTTTCGTACCATATCATAAATATCATATCATTTTTTTATTATTTAGTTCTTTGAAATTATCGTAACAGACTATTCTGTATCAATTAATTGCAATGCAATATAAACAACCTTAACATATACATGACGTTTCTTAACAATATAATATTGAATATATATACATATGCAAAAGTAAAATATATAAGTTCGGGCGCTTCATACTCTTAGTACGGTACTGAACCATGCTGAAAGGCATTTTTAGATTATCGGCACACCAGCAGAGGGAGAGACGACACCAGCGCAGTGGTGTGCTGTGGTGGAGAGCGTGAAACTCATCTATTGTGCAAGCGCATCAGTCTTCTCGATTTCATAACGACAACACCAATGTAATTTTATGAAGCGAGGAAACGTCCTTTCCGGCTGATTTTTTTTTTAAATTGTTCCTTATAAAATTCCCTTGCGGGGGATAGTTACACATTTTGCAATTTCGCTTTTAAAACGTGCTAAAAATACGTTCAAAGGCAAAAAAATTTGTTTTTTCAATTTTTTCTAAACAACGCTTGACGAGACGATAGATTTACTTCCCCTGATTACGAAATGCGTAATTATTATATGTTTTTTTCATTATTGTGGCTGAAAAACGGGAAAAACTATCTAGTAGTTCACCTACTTTCCGTTGGTGGCGTCAGTTTGTCTCTTGCGCATACGTGCGCGATAAAAAGGAACTATTTGGCAGTGCTACCACAGATATTCCGCGCCCTCTGGTATAATATTTTTAAATAAAATGGATATGCAATAGAAAATGCATTTACATGTGGGCTGCAATGTCGTGTATTCCAATAGTCTATGACTATCAATAAATTCGTTGTTCCCGCCAGAGGACCGGTATTTGTATTATGTTGCACGAGATTTCTTTCTTACCATTATATTTAAGTATAACATTTCGACCTGGTAGTTTTGTGTTTTCATAACGTTTTATTTATCATAAAATCATGTCTGAAGGTAATTCGCAATGTCTACGAATACGTACATCTGTAATGTTCCTTGAAAAATATAACCTTTAATGTGCAAAAGATTGTAAGGCATAAAAATTGTACTTACATTAGTAATTACAGTATCAAAAACCTGTCAATGAAAGTATTGTTAAAGTAACAGTGTATCGTGCGAGAAATATTATTGTACGAATTTTTTGTTTGTGTACTTTAGAAAAGACAACAACGGAGGACATGTGGACTCCGTACAAGGAATTACAGAGTCTCGTAGAACGGTATATTACATCTTCTCCAACCACTCATGATTTTCAATATCATGAATTCACAGAAGCATTACGAAGCCATAAACAAAATTTTCTTACGCTTTTAAAAAATCCTGTAAGTGATTATACGATATTAACACATCTATGGCAAAAAGTGAAATATTCTACAAATGCTGGTTTATCTATATCATTGATTACAGAACAATTCATAAATATCGTAGCTATCTAACATAAATAATATTGTCAATGATATAGAACAATTCTGGATTAAGCATTATTATAAATAGTTTGAGTTATTTTTCAATTAACACGAATAAGTTCTAAAGAATCGGTCGCTCATGGATTATTCGGTATTCTGTAATATAGACAAGTAAATACATTCAACTTATTGATGCAAATGCTGGATGGTCAATTAAGCAATTCATATTCAATCATGAATGTCTATGTTATATGTTTTAAGATATATTTTATTATAGCCTGCAAATGCAAACAGTCGAGAAGAGATAAAAAAAGGAGTAACTGATGGTATTACGCCTCCTGGTTTGGGATGTCAACTGTTATTATCGAAAGAACTAGTTGACAAAACTCTCATTATATCAGATATGTATAATCTTAACGAATTCATGGCTTTGGATCTTCTCTGCACGGCTCAGTTGCAAATGCCACATCATCCTGGTTTACCTTTGGGATTAACAGCCATCTTATTATATTATGATGGAAAGAAAGCACTTACGTCAACTTTAAGAATGCTTGTACAAGCTAGAATGGGGCATAGTTGGAAAATTGATGCTCCTATTGCTCTAATAAGACACATCACAGAATATACAAATAAATTGCAAGAAGATGATTTATTAGATAGAATTTTATCTTTATTGGAACAAATGGATCCTGCTAAGGTACAGTCAGACCTCTTTCAGTTGAAAGCCTGCATCGATAGAATTATTATTTATTTCTATTTGTAAATCCTTGATAACTCAAACAACAAACAGAAATTATATTTGTTCGAATTTTTTAAATCAAGGTTGTTGCTTTCCTAATTTCAAACTAATATTTGATTTTTAACAGGAACAGGAATTACTAGAAAAAAATCGGGCACTAGGTGGACCAAAACATCGTTACATGGTTATGAAACTTTTCAATGATTCTAGACAGGATTTGGCGGATATTTTATATTTGTGGTCAGCTCAATCTTCGTTACCAAATACAGTCTTATTTCATTTATTATCTGTATTACAAACGAAACGAATAGAACCTGAAGCGTGCAAGGAAGGGCCAGATAAAGTCACTCTCGCTCTTATAATGAGCGTTTTGAATGCAATTAATTTTAATTCATTACACACTCGCGAGAACGGCGAAGGTGTGACATATATTTCAACTGATTTCCAAATTAATGTTTCACTTGTGATTTACTGCACCATCTAACATCTGTTTTAGAGTTGATAAATTCTATGCCATTGATTGCGCAAGCTGATGCGCACGAAGAACTATATCAGAAATTAATATCGACTAATATCAATTGGGAGAGCGCTGGATTGCATGGACTTATACAGTTTGCCTATGCAGTTGCTTTGCCAGCAATTAAAGCTGCAATTAACGCGCAATCCACGAACAAAACCAACGATGACGGAAGACTGTTGGACGCAGCTTTGTCAAATAAATGCTTCCACTTTATGGCCGAAGTATTATTTAAAAACAAAAGCATATATTGCGAAGAATTTTATATTCGTTACTTTCATTCTCTTATCTCCGACTTCATATTACTGATGCCGCTAAAACTTAAAAATCTACGGAGTCGTGCGGACGAATCCATGCGTTTAATACAAGCGTATCAGCAAGAGGGACTCGAGCCTCCTTTGAATTTAGATAATCACTTCAAATATTTAATGTTAACGATAGCGGAACTGTATAAAGAGGATCCTCTAAAACTTGATTTAGTCATGGATTATTGGTGTTACCATTCCGATTCCGCGCACGTAACCGCTCCTGCCTTTACTAATCGTTTGCCATCCAGGCAAGTTGCTCTATTCAAATTCGTACGTCTCGACGATGAAATATTACCAGCTGGACTGTTCGTACCGTATCTGAAAATGATAGCGTCTCTTGCTTCTTCTCCGCAAGCAGCGAGACAGGCATTCAACTTTTTGAAACCAAATGGTAACTGTATTTCTATCATATCATTTACCTTACCTCGAACATCACTTGCAATACAAAACTTACCGTCGAGGAATTTCGCTTATAGGAACTTCGGGATCGACAACTATTTCTTGGGATCACTTCTTCGGTTCTTTAACTCGATATTACATGAACCTCCGAAAAGAATTACCCCCTAGCCAAGACACTGTTTACCGTCAAAGAGGTCATCCGAAAGGTATTACACCGGACGAAGTGAAAGGATTGAAGGCGGTGTTTTTGGTGGTCCAAGTAATAGCAAAAAACGACGAAATGTCGAGAATAGCAATATGCGATCATCCAGGATGGAAAGTGTTGCCGTCCTTAATCGGTTTAGTAAGCTGTGGGATACCGATTCCCTTAAAAGCTGTTTTAGTACGAACCCTTGCTGCGTTAGCAAGATCCCCTGAAAGTTCGTCGACCGTATGGCAAAGTTTAGAAGCTGCCCAGATAATCTCAACTAAACCAACCACAAGTAGCTATCAACCAAGAGGTGTTCAAACCGAATTAGAGGAGATCGAATCTAAAAAGGATGAATATCCGCTGACGCGAGCAGTGTTGGAACTTTTAGACGTACTTACAGATTTTCCTATTCCACGATTATTGGGAATGGGTCAGCGCATTCCCGGCTTCGATCCATATTTGCATTTTATTATCAATACTGTTTTTCTGAAGTTCCATACGCGGTCTTATAAGAATCCAGCTGAGAAGTGGGAAGTCGCAGAAGCATGTTTAAAAATATTCTCAAAGCTTATGAAACAATACGAGCCTTCCGTGGAAGATTTCACTGGGTGCAAGATGGAGCTCCAAAGTGGAGAAACCACGTTGGTTAATTCTGCTCCTGGTTATCATTTAATGACTCAATTACATTCCAAGTCGGAGCTCCTCCATGTTATATTATACATTCTCGACAAGGGTTGCTTCAACTTCGACACATACGAACCTTTTCCTGGTAAAAAGAATCTAGAAAACGCTACCCTTTATTGTTTAGAAATATTAGAAAGGGAATTGAAGACGCAACACAATTATATGTCGCAACTGGCATCTGCGAAGTCGATACACAAAATTTTAACCGGATTGTCCAGATTACTGTTGGAGGTAGATCCTCAAACGAAGAGGCCTGATTACATGATAAACGTTGCCAAATACGTGTCCTACAGTTCCTGGTTACCGCAACACGCGTTCCATGCCGTTGGTGTAATTCACGAAGTGACGAATGAGCCGGGAGCAGACTCTGAATTGCTTTCTACGTTCACGGCTACTCCTACTTTAGCCACGAATATTAGACACGGTTTCGTGGAGTGCTTAGACATGGATATTACCATCGACGAGGACACCGAGTTGACTGAGAAGCAGTACACCGGCAATTGTAAGGAACGAATTTTGCTCTTGATGATGCAGAGCATCACACGACCTACGCCGAATCTTTCTCACTATCTCCTAGGATTCAAAATCACCAAAGACATTAAAAAGACTATACTACAACAACCTGGTATCTTTGGATTTCCACGGACGTGCTTACACTCTATATTAGGGATTCTGGAACAGTCTCTCGAACGCGGACGTGACAAGATAACGGAAGCTTGCTACTGCTTTCTTCATACGTTGGCTGCGAATAACAAAACATCGGTTCCTGTATTGAGATTCTTACGAACCAGCGCCAATCAAGACTTTGTACAGAGACACCTTCTAAAATTGCCGTTTGAAGGACCGAACACGGCAACAGAGCTCGGCTGTATGTCCTGGTTGTTGAAGATAGCTGCGATCGAATTGCACGTTATCAGTAGAAAGTTTCAGAGTTCCCTCGTTGAACGACTGATGGGAAAATTTGACCAAGAACAAGGTCAGACTGTGCCCTTACAGAAACTTCTGATGGATCTTTTGCATTATGTTGAATTTCAACTCCAAGTGGACCCACCATTGTCTTTGGACTTTTTCGATCCATCACAAGTTGAGATGGTTTTGGGCCGTTGTAGCGTTCCAGTTACTTTGATAGGTGGTCCTCGGCTTATAGATATCAGAAAATTACATTCCCTCATCACCGAGGAACTATCCGTTACACAGAACAGCGCGACTGCGACTCAGCGTAATCTCATGCAGCAAGAAGTACAGAAAATTCTGATGCATGCCTTGAAAAGGAATCAAACGAAATTGTTGTCCTACGCCATGGTTAAATTCGTAGAAGGCTGGTGTCAAACAACAGAGATATTCTTCTCCGTAGCTACCAAACAACTGCTTCCTACGCCACAGAAACAGAATTTACTGTTGAATTTGTCTCACGACCTGCTGCAGAAAATGACATCCTGCGAAGCTTTGAATGAAATCAAAACTTTAGTATCCGGTACGGTGCTGATGTTGCTAGTGAACCTGCGAAACAGTTTCATTACCCAAACCGACACAGAATCGTTTCCATCCTCTCCTTCGAATACAACGATGATGAAAATTATCCTGAGCCACATTTTGCAGTGGATTCTAAACGCAGGCGCTTCCTCTCAAAAAGTAATTACGCATTTATATGCAGCTTTGTTAAATTTCCTCTGCGTAGTTGGTTTGGAGAAGTCAGAAAGCGCAAACTTTGTAGATTTCATGTACGTTAGTCAGTTAAATAGTACAGTGAACAGGATCATGCCCGTTCAAGAACGTTCTCATCGGTACGCGACGATACAAGTTATAAACAGCTTCGGGAATAAGTTGATGAACATTTTGTGCCACAATTGCTCCGGCGGCCACGACGTCTGTAAAATGTTGGCGTTGTCCTGCTTGGATAAAATTTTGGAATTGGACTACGACAATGCGTGGGTAATCTACTTAGCCAGCAGGGGCTATTTGAAACACATGATAGACAGTCTTTCAGAATCTGACAATATGTTACGTAGTATGTTACAACCGGAGCCACGGACGTTGAGACCACTGTACTTGTACGAGGCGAAAATGGCAACGTTTTGTAGAATAGCTTCGACGAGGCTAGGTGCCGAGAGCCTTTTAGAAAATAAGATCTTGTCGTGTTTGTCGAGCATGGTCGTTTTCGATCACCATCCCGACGTTCACATAGGCTTCGAAGGTGGTGACTACTCTTTCGTACCTTCCATTGGTCAACGCTATCAGCAAATTTTCTTGCCAACTTTGTATCTCTGCGATGCACTGCTGACCACTCTGGGAACGGAGAATCAATCATGCGCCATACAAATTTGTGGATTTCTACAAAGTCATAGAGATACCATCGAGATGGTGCTACGAAATGCATTTCCAAAGGCGAACACTCTATTCTTAAAAGAGGTTGCATGTCTCACGGGTGTAATATCCAGATCTGCAAATATCGACATGTACAAGTTAGTGGACGAAGAATTGGCGAAATCAGACTACGATGATCGGAAATTGGATGACCCTAGCGGAATGAGGGAGCTTCGTGCTCATCTCTACCGGTTACAGAAACTAATGCTCTCTTTATTGTGTAAATTTCAATTGCAACCAGCTCCGATTCGCTTGAGTCACGAACAGACGGATGCGAACCAACAGCACATTTCTTCAGTTCAGATTGTTGCAAATGTCATGTTGTACACGCGTAATCAAATGCAGCACAGCAGAATGGATCAAATGATGTGGAACGTGCTGTTTGAGCCTCATTTTACTCCAAAATTAGATGGAAGGGAAGACAGGATGAAAGATTCAACTGGTGGATTACATTTAGGGACAATCGTCGAGCAACTTGTATCCGTAACGAAATTATTGCACACAGAGCTACCACATATTGATACTCTTATAAAGAAGGTAGCTATTATAGGGGAAATGAACACAACAGAGTTAAAGCAATATCTATCCGAGGAAGAAGCCGAACTTACTGTACAGAAGAAACGGGTGATAGTCGAACAGCGATTGAATCGCTGGGTAAAAGAGAAACGCCAAAATATAAAATATAGTTCGTTTATAATAGAACATGCTTTGTACATTCTGTGGAGTCATTGCGACTTCTACATACCGCAGGATACACAGCGGCATAATCAAATGCAAGGTAATATCACTTTGTTTATTTTTCTATGTAGTTAACACATTGTACTATAATTGTTTTCTTAGCTTGTTCTCGGTCAATTTTAATTTAATTTTTCTGGTTTTAATGTCTCATCTCAGGTATAAACAAATTGCTTGTAATTGTTTAAAGTTTAGTAGTTTATTAGCAAAACGATATTTCAAAAAGGATACGTAATATTTGATACATATATGGTGCAGCAGTTAACCCGTTACAAAGCAATAATGCCCAAATTATTGCAGATACAAAAGAAATTTTCAGGTAAAAGTTACAAAATTTTAAGGGGCCCATTAAACAAACTTACTAATTTTTGGTTTTGTACAAATGTTGAGGCTATGTCAAAGTTACACCTATTTCTTTTAATGGAATTATGGGATTTTTTTCCACATTATGAATGCTGACATTGAAATAAGTTCATTGATTTATGATACAAAGTGACTTATTGTAATATGAAACTTTAAATTGGTCTTTGTAGTTAGTAGATTTGGTGCAACCTGTCATTCGGTCATTCGGTCGAAGGATAGAAGAAGGAAAGGAGGAAAGAAGATGAACTAGCAGACTGTGTCCAATCTACTCACTATAAACTCCAATTTAAGGCTTTATATTATAGCAAATGACTTTGTATCGTAGGTTAATGAGCTCATCTTGATGTCAGTATTCATAATGTGCAAAAAAATTCTATAGTTCTTCTTAAAAAAATAGCTGTAATCTTGACATGGCCTCAGCACCTGATCAAACCAAAAAGTACAAATAACTTCGTTTGATGGGCACTTTAAAATCCTGTACCATTTATTTGAAAAGTTTTTTTGTGTTGGCGATATTTTGGGCATTATCACTCCATAGTAGGTTGACTGCTCCACCCTACATATTAAAATTACTCACTTTTACAATATAATCCAATACTAAAAACAATTGAATTGCACGTAAAACTTAATTCTCCAAATATTCCAGATTATGTAGAGAGATAAATTATATGCAATCAGTTAGTATAATTCAATCCAATTACATAATAAGGAATACTATCATTATTATGATGAAAAGTGTATACGAGTCTTTTATTACATGACTTAAGAATTCCAGACAAAAATAATTTTGTGTTTATCCAACAACAAATTGTGCTCATTAATACTATGTATATATTATTACTTTTTTTATTCTTTTTTAACCGTTTGACTGCTAAGCAATTCTTGCAAGAACGCACGAAAACTGCGGGACATATTTTGACTTGATGTCAAAGACATACTGAAACTCGCAGCGCAAAATGAGACAAATGAACGCAGCGCTTTTGCGCCGCGTAGCAGTCAAACGGTTAAAATATAACAAGCAATACATATTATTATCTTGCTTAATTTCAAATAGTATATCAGAGTTACTTGTTATTTCATTTCATTTTTAATATCCTTGACAGGCATAGATGAAGTGACATGGAAAATATCTTCGGAGACGAAAATGGAATTAAAACAAGGTCTCGTAGCAACATTCACAGATAGTTTTATTACACAATTACTAGATATACACAGTGAATACGCAACAGTGGATCATAGCTTTATCGAAGTCCTTGTAAGAAAAATTAAAAGACTACAACAATTTACGGTATAAGACTATTGTTCGAATGGCTATATAAGAACATATTTTTTTACACGTCTGTGTGTATGTACAATCGATTTACGAAAATTACGCAAACAGTATTTATTATAAAAATTAACCAGAACTGATCAAAGCGTACAATTATGTAATACAATTTACAATTATTCAGTCCTGGATATGTACAAGATAATTTGGTTGGAAAAGAATTTAGGTCATACATACTTTTTATCGATTAATGTTTACAAATCAGAATTGAATGCTTATAATAATTTTGTTGATATACGTATATATATATATACCATTTTGTAATATTTTGCTGAACGCAATAATATATTAAAAATAATCTGTCATAGTTATATTCCGTTACTATGTTAATTGTGGTATCTATAATTAATAAATTAAATACTAAAATACTTATACTACTCTTCTCTCTTTAAATTAACGTATACAGCATATTTAAAGTTTATTTATAAATGTGACATAACAAAATAGCTTAATGTGACATCATTATCGTTATTATTTTTAAATATTTTTAAGAAGTGATGACAGCTTCATCCCATGGACCATAAATATTATCCTTGTATGTTTGACATCGTACATACCAATAAGGACAAATAAAATGTAAAAATACTATAGATAAAATAAAAACGTATGAAATCGTTTGCGAAATAAACAAAAGGAAATATAAAGTATCGAGTGTTAAAAAAATTGAAATAAGTATTTTCTTACTTAATTTATACATTAAAAACGGTAATAAAACGAAACATTGTACGGCAACTGTGAGAAGAGAAAAAGCATGCGACGGGGATGCTAATCTGGATGCTAACATCAATGACCCAAAGATTGAAGATGTTATAGATAAGGAATCTGACAAAGAAATCTGTAGAGAACCGTATTTGCTAAATATTAAATGAGTTAAAAACATTAATATCGTCATGGCATAAATTGTGTCGGTACTAATTGTTTCGGTTAAAGTTTTCAAAACAGGGGATAAAATATAACCAAACGTGAGAAAAATTAATGCAGTTCTAAAATCTTTTGACATTTTTTTCACAGTAGTTTGTTCCGTTACACAATATACGAGATAACCAAATATTGTTAAGATTACGCCCGATACAAAGATGACATTAGGACTGGTCCATTCTTTGTTTAACCAGATAAATATAATAACAAAAAGAATCACAATGCTCAATTGAATGCATATGCTGGCTCCAAATGTTATTGCTTCTGATAATGTTACATTATTTGGTTTTATATTCTTACGTAACTGTTCCAAGAATGAGCTATCCGTATAATTGTCTGGTAAGCTATAATTTTCATACAAATTTTTTTGCCATTGTGTTTCTGATGTCATGGCGTGTATTACGCTTAAAGTTCCACAAAATTTGAACAGTGTTTCTCTAATTGTATGCCAAAAATTTGATAAATATAGAATATACAATTTTCTGTTAATTAAATACAATCTCCCTAACTGTAAATAGTGTACAAAGAATTGTAAAATATACACATAAATATTTATAACAGGATATCGTTTTACCTATCTTCCAGAAAATTTAGATATTTGTATGAATTTCATATTGTTGCTGCGTCAAACATTCTTCTTCCATGCAAATATCTAGCATTAAGTTTCAATGTTATGGATGTTTTAACTAAACAGTAGCTAATCCTCCCACAATAGTGATATGTATTGTGTATTTCTCAGCATTTATCATCTCGTTTTAATCGACCAGAGTCTGTCATACAATACACTGAAAAAGGAACTAAAAATTTTAATCGACTTTAAATCACACTTAATTATAATCTTCTAACTATTGAACATTGAGATTGATACTACCTTATATTCATTCTATTCGTAAAAAATCATGATCTTGAGTAAACATCATTGAATCAAATTGGGAGACACTGCTGGAAAGTTCTATATCAAATTCATTAAATTACTATATGTATTCTTATGAGGGAATTTTCTTTGACTCGATCCGATTAACTAATGAAATTCAATTCACAATGCGAATGATTCACTATCATAGCACTATTAACAGTTGGTTTACTATTATCATCCTTTTAAATTTCTCACATAACCAATAAAAGCGCAGCCATATCTGTTGCTTCCATCGTAACTTAACTCGGTAAAAAAGAAGTGCGTGACAAAAATATGGCAGAAATTTTGAATAATTGAAATGTACGTACTATATTCCAAACGCAGTACTTCACTTTTTTTGAAATTATCAATTACACAGGACAGATGCACGATATACATTATGTATTATTTGTTTCTGTATACACAGATATAATCAGGTAAATAAATTATGAAATTATATTCTTTCTAATATTTATTACGTGCAAGCTATTTTTATTTAATAAACTTATTTATATATAATATTCTGAATTTTTGAACAAAAATATACTTTTTTTATATATAAGAGCTATTTTAACATCAACAATGAAAGGTGTATTCTGGAATAGTTCTCATAAAAGTATTCCACAATTCGTAAAACTATTTCATTGTAGTCTTAAATTGTATATCGTACTCTTTATAATTATATGTTATTATTGCAGACCTAAGAATTAGCATTGGAAAGTTGTATAGAAAGATGCAGAAATTTAGACGAGCTCAAGTGCAAAATAAAATATCGATTAAGAAACATTTAGAAGCAAATGCTTATTTAGAATCATCCAGCGAAGATGAAAATGACACGAACGAAAACAATATAGAAAATGTGGTTGGCAAAGTATTATCTGCCTATCAAGGAAAGGAGGAAGATGCGGAAAAAATTTTATCGTATTTAATTAACACTTTTCAATCTAGCAGTGCTGTCTGTTTGATATGTATTTCAACAGTGAAAAAGGCAGATGCGGTATGAAAAATAACATCGATTAAAAGTTTCATTTGAAATTATGTTTACAATGTACTTTAAATAATGAATATAAATATTTCAGATCTGGAATTGTAACAAGTGTTTTGCTTTTCTACATTTATCTTGTATTCTGCACTGGATACAAGACAGTCTAAATGTTAAACGTCAGAAAGGTATTGCACCAATTTGGGCATGGTAAGCAACAAGTTAACTAAAAGATACAATTTATACATTTCATACAATTTAACTGCTACATCGTTTGCTGTATTGAAAAATTAATTCCAGTCCAAAATGTCGTACCGAGTATGATCAAGATGAAATTCCTCGCACCTACAAATGTTTCTGTAAAAAAGTCACAGACCCCTCGTTTCAACCATGGAATATACCACATTCTTGCGGCGATACGTGTGGCAAACCATTGCAACCGAAATGTGGCCATAAATGTGTTTTACTTTGCCATCCTGGACCATGTCCGCCATGTGCAAAAACAGTGTCGGTCACATGTTTCTGTGGCAAACAAGTACCTCAGGTGCGGCGATGCAATGCCAAAAACTGGAGTTGTAGTACTGCATGTAACAAAAGATACGAATCATGCTCTCACAATTGTAAGCAAGTGTGTCATTCGGGAGATTGCCCTCCCTGTTCAGAGACATTATTGCTCGAGTGTCATTGCAAGAGTAACACAGAAATAAGGCAATGTTCTGAAAGCATATGGACTTGCGACAAACCGTGCCGTAGACCTCTGTCTTGTAACGTTCATGTTTGCCAAAGTACATGCCATTTACCTGGTGACTGCAAAGTTTGCCCTTTAGAAAAGAACAGAACGTGTCCGTGTGGAAAAAAGCGTTACGCTGTTTCTTGCAGGCAAGAAAAGGTACCCACGTGCGGTGATACGTGTGGCAAATTGTTAGACTGCGGTTCGCACTTTTGTAACATGAGATGCCACACGGACAAGTGTGGACAGTGTTTGGAAGTGGTTACTAAATCTTGTCGATGCGGTAGCTATCGGAAAGAAGTTGCCTGCGGCAAAGAGTTTCATTGCAATAAGAAGTGCACTCAAGTACGTCTCTGTGGAAGACACTTGTGCAACAGGAAGTGTTGCGACTGCCTAACCAAGAGTACGTCCAACATATGCGAGAAAATATGCGAAAATACTTTAAACTGCCGTAAACATAAATGTTCCTCTCCTTGTCACAACGGTCCTTGTTACCCATGCGAACGTACCGACGTCATCCAGTGCAGGTGCGGATACAACAAAATAACGGTACCATGCGGTTTCACGAAAAGAGTGAAACCACCGCCGTGTAATAAACCGTGCAAAGTACCCCCTATTTGTCATCATCCCAAAAGGGAAACTCATAAATGCCATCAAGGACCGTGTCCACCCTGTAGAAAAGTCTGCAATTTAGTATACAAACGATGCGGTCATTCTTGCGTTGCTATTTGCCACACGAAAGTCTGGGTGCAAGTAAACAAAAACGATAAAAAAACGCAGCCCACAGGGCCATGGGAGATACAAAAAGAAATCATGCAGCTGAAAACACTGCCGTGTCCACCGTGCGAAGTTTCGGTGTCGGTTGAATGTTTGGGCGGTCACGAGACGCGTCCGTGGCCTTGTTACATGGCTAGACCTACCTCTTGTGGAAGACTTTGTGGAAGGACGCTACCCTGCACGAATCATACTTGCGAATTGGTTTGTCATAGATTATCATCTTCGGGGGATGGCAAGATCAGTACTCCGTGCATGGAATGTGAAAAACCATGTATATCCTCGCGGCCGCAAGGTTGCACGCATTTCTGCCCAAAACCATGTCATCCGGCGCCATGTGGTGCTTGCAAACAACTAGTGAAAATTTCATGTCATTGCGGGATAGGTACTCTGTATCGAAGATGCGCCGAATTAACATCCGCCACTATAGAACAACGCAACGAATTGCTCAAGTGTGGAAATCAGTGTCCTAAAAATGTAATTGAAGTTTTTAGATAACTATTATATCCGTACATTTATTCAACGTTAATTGTATTTGACTTCTGGCTGTAGGCCATGTCCTTTGGATAAGATACTCCGACGTTTCGTCAACATTGCAGATAGCTTTTTCAGAGCTCAAATGGCACACTATCAGTCAAAGCTGTAAATTCTTAATTACAATTACAAAACGATTACTTGACCAAGTAATTCAATAATTGTCATTACAATTACTCTATCGCATGTAATGGTATTTCTAATTACTTAATTACTACCAGTAATCCCATGCATTACTTAATAATTACTTATAACGGCCCAGAAAGTAATTAAAAAGTAATTATAATTACTTTTTTAATTACTTTCAAGTAATTGCAGTGACATGGACAGTAATTCTTAAAAGTAATGATTACTGTCTTCCAATTATTTGTAATTACTTTGAATTACTTTTGCTGCCAAAAAGTAATTAGAAGTCAGTAATCATTACTTTTAACAATTACTGTCCATGTAACTGCAGTTACTTAAAAGTAATAAAAAAGTAGTTTTAATTACTTTTAGGTATATTTAACTACTTTAGATTTGCAGACGCCTTTTAATTACTATCTGGGCAGTTGTAAGTAATTATTAAAAAGTAATTGAATTACTCAGTAATTAAAAATAAGGTATTGCATAATTACTAAAAAAAGTAATCAACAATTACTTTCTAATTCCAAAGTAATTGTTCCAAATTGTAATAAATTCCAAAATAATCATTACTTTACAGCTCTGCTATCAGTGCAGATCTAACCTGGGCCAATATGCCGAATTAGGTCCATGTTAGACTGTATTATGGTAAGTTTAGGTCTGAAGTAGGTTTCCACTAATATATTAGTGTGTTCTGAAGAAGCTAGCTGCAACGTTGGAGAGACGTTGGAGTATTTTATAAGTCAAGCATTAAATATGTTAACTGTACTTCCTCTTACTGGGTAATTGATTTTTGTTGCAGTATCCTTGCGGACATCGGTGTGTGCAAGACTGTCACCCGGGTCAGTGTAAAAACGAGAACGAGTGCAACAAGAAAGTGAAATTATTCTGTTCATGTAAACGGATAAAAAAAGACTTCGTCTGTTCGACGGTGCAAAAGCAGCAGATTCGTATACAATGCGACGATGTTTGCAAGAAGTTGAAAAACGAGCGAAGCCAAGCGGAAGCTATTTTATTGGAACGAAAACGCCAAGCTGAAGAGATACGCAATCAAGAGGAAATTGAGAAATTTGAACGGAAATTCAAACCGCGTCGCAAAGGAAAGGAGAAATTTGATAAGAAACAATCGCAAAGAGAAACAAGTAGTAATTATTGGAAATATTGGATTTCTGCAATTTTAATATGTATAATTGGCATAGGAATATTTTATGCAAGTGTTCAGAAATCGTGAGCAGTGTACCGAAATTGAGCCTAATAAGCATAATATTGCTTTAAAAAAAAACTATATTTTTTAGTCAAGTTTGATCGTTTAATTTTAAAGTTCGTTCCGTTTCGATCTAGCATATTCAGTATAGTGAAATACCAAACATACATTTATATATCTTTGTAATCTTTGCTCAAAGTTTTACGAAAATGTATCGTTATTATTTTATGGAATTTATGCCATGAAAATAAGATACAGCCCAAAGAATTTTAACATTAAACGAATGTACAAATACATTTTATGGAATACGACGTAGAAATCTTTGTTACTTATTTAGTGATTAGCGAAAGTTTTCGAAAAGTGATTTTTAAACTTTTTGGACTTACTCTCTTTCCCTTATATATAGAAAAAGAAATATACAGGGTGTTGGAAAAAGTATATGTAAACAAATTTCTTCTATAAGAAAAAAAACCGTACTTTTATTATTCATAAAGTTTTAAGGCCGAAATTGCAAAATCAGGCCATGGAGTTCAAGGTGTTACAACATTTTTGGGACACCTTGTATTATTATATCATCTACATATACAGAGTGTCCCAAAAATGTTGTAACACCTTGAAAGGAGTAGTTCGGGGGGTGATTTGAAACAAATGATTTTCCTTAGCGAAAATGTTCTCCGAGGCTTCGTTGAGGAGATATTAACGGAAAACACTGATCAATCAGAGCGCACGGATACTGATGGAGCGGTCACGGTAGCGAAGGCTATGTGCTAAACGGTCGCGCTCGTACGCGAACAAATGAGTCGTCGCATATCGAAGGACATTGGACGCGGCCGCCTAGTACGTAGCCTTCGCTACCATGGCCGCTCCAACGGTATATGCGCGCTCTGATTGGTCAGTGTTTTCCGTTAATATCTCCTCAACGAAGCCTCGGACAACATTTTCGCTAAGGAAAAGGTTGTTTCAAATCACCTCCCGAACCACCCCTTTCAAGGTGTTACAACATTTTTGGGACACCCTGTATTGTAGTTTAACAATCTTTACAAATTAGCTACAGATTCATCGTTTGATATTATTACCTTGTCTTCTTTTCTTAAAAATTTTAAGCCTCTGCAGGGGCGCCAATATTGAACCGGCCCTGGCTACATGTAATAAAGTCAAGTTCACGCGATAGCGTAACGCACTGCGTTCCTAATCAGAGAAACAACGTACCAATGAACGTCTACTTTAAATCACGTGGTTTTGTTTACAGTGTTTCTCGTTGGACAATGTAATACCTTTGCTTTACCTTATCCACCTTATCTTATCGTGGGCTTATTTCAGCATAAGTAGCGTAACTATCGATAGACTTTAGTCCATGCTGGTTCCGCACCTTTTTTTTCTTTCAAGTCGTGATGTTTCCGAGGTAGTAATAATTTAAATGACACCGTTATTTTATTACTTTTCTTGCATTGTTGTAAAATTCGTAAATTCGTAAGTTCACATTACGGTTCATGTAATATTTACAAAACTACATAAATGTACAATGCGGAACGTAAAAATACGTAACTCAAAATACGCATATGTCGCCGGCCGGTAATTTTGTGTACGTGGTCAGTTTACTGGTAGTCGGCATCATTTAAATCCTCGTATTTCCTGTACCGAGCATGTAGCTATTCCATTTTAATAAAACAGCATGTTCGCCGTTTCATTTAATTTTCCTATTGATTAATAATATACGACAGTTTTTTTTTGTTTACTTTTGCAAAGAATCATAACCTAATACTAGAAGACAAATGTATCATTTATTATTACTTTTCATGTATCAAAATTCTATAAAAATTTTTAAGCGTTTACTTGTTTTCCGCATGCGACACAATTGTGGTTTTTACAATGCCTGAAACTCGCATTAACATTTGGATACTATGGTACTCCATTATTAATTTTTTGAACTTATATCGGGTATACATAGTAGACACTAACATGTAAAGTTGCATAGTATACGAATATTAATTCGAATCAATGTAAATGAGAGGTATGAATGTGTAGTTTGTATTATAACATATGGAACCCATTTAGCGTTAGATTGAAGAAATATGAAAACATGGACACATTCGGATAAATATATGTTTTGTTTGACTGTTTTTCAAGTTATTGCAGCAAAGAAAAGAACAAAAATTGATTTAAAAGTAGACAAAGTTCAATGATAATTGTTTAAAATCTAATGCTTTTTTCACATATTCAACAATTCTATAGTTTGCAAATTCATATGAATTTTTGTCATTATTTATGTGGTTCTGATAGTCATGAAAGTGGGTTTTATATGTTATGATACACATTGCATGGACATACGTAATGTACATTTTATATTCCCTTTGCATAGATAAGTTGAAGAAAACGGAGGTGTTTAATTATTTATAAGTCGTATCTAATAGCCTAATCGATATGGCTGCATTGATGAAAACAAGAGGTTTGCGAATGTCTGCACAGAAGCAGGAAACACTTTTAAAGTTGACTGTCTTATCTCTTGCAGCAATTTTATGTAAGTTCTCTAATTTTATACAAGAAACGATGGTAGAAACTTTTGTAATTTCCTGTATGTTTTCATATGAAACATTTTGTTTCAGCATTTGCAACAAGATTATTTTCAGTCCTAAGGTTCGAGAATGTTATTCATGAATTCGATCCATATTTCAATTATCGCACAACGAAGTATTTAGCTGAAAATGGATTCTACAGTTTCCACAATTGGTTCGATGATCGTGTTTGGTATCCTCTTGGTAGGATAATCGGAGGTATGTTTCTACCGCATCAATTTCTCTTGCATGTAATACTTTTTTGTAATAGAGAATGCTTGTGCAAATTTAATACCAATTTGTTTCACAGGAACAATATATCCAGGTTTGATGATAACATCAGCAGCGTTATACCGTCTTTCATGGCTACTAAATATTACTTTAGATATACGTACTATTTGTGTCTTCCTTGCTCCATTATTTTCTAGTTTGACAGCAATCATTACTTATTTGCTCACTAAAGAGTTAAAGGTAAAAATGTTTGTACCGATTATTTGAATTATCATAGTATTGTAATAAATTGAAGACGCTACATTATTCTGTTCACTTTTAAGGATTCCGCATCAGGACTGTTTGCAGCTGCGATGATAGCAATTGTTCCTGGTTATATATCACGATCGGTGGCAGGGTCATATGATAACGAGGGCATAGCTATTTTTTGTATGCTATTTACATATTATATGTGGATTAAAGCAGTGAAAACAGGAGCAATTTGTTGGGCAACATGTGCTGCTCTTGCATATTTTTACATGGTGTCTTCTTGGGGTGGTTACGTTTTCTTGATTAATTTGATTCCTTTACATGTGCTAACGTTAATGGTCACTGGCAGATTTTCACACAGGATATACACAGCATACAGTATTCTATACTGCTTAGGAACAATTCTCTCTATGCAGATATCATTTGTTGGTTTCCAACCTGTTCAAAGTTCTGAGCACATTCTTGTGAGTATAAATTAATGAACATTCATTTTTTTCTAAAAAAGAAAACATTTTTACAAATACAACATTTAATCCTTACAGGCATTGGGGGTGTTCGGACTCTGTCAGATACACGCCTTAGTTGATTATTTGCGTAATAAACTGTCGCAAGATGACTTTGAAGTACTGTTTCGTGGTCTTGTTGTTTCTGTAATTAGTATTTCATTTATCTTAGGAGTCATTTTAACCATTACAGGTACATGCATCATATTATTAATAACAATTCATGTTTCCGATAACGTAACAAATGTTAACGTTGAAATCATTTTAATTTCTTTAAGGAAAAATATCACCTTGGACTGGACGCTTTTATTCGCTTTTGGATCCATCCTACGCAAAAAATCACATACCAATAATTGCTTCTGTTTCTGAACATCAACCAACATCATGGAGCTCTTTTTATTTTGATCTTCAAATCTTAGTGTTTCTGTTTCCTTCGGGATTATACTTTTGTTTCTCGAAGTTAACGGATTCTAATATTTTCCTTATTTTGTACGGAGTCACGAGTTTATACTTTGCCGTGAGTTCAACTTAATTAGAAATAATTAAAATTTATTTTCTTCTTAGGACGAGATTTACGTATTTATGTATAGTTCTCCGATGACAAAATATCCACAACAAAAAACGATTAAATATGTCGAATCATGGGGACAAGATAGATTAATAAATAACACTTTATTTAAGTAATAAAAGGAAGTAGTATATTAACTAAAATAGTATTAGAACAATTAAGGACTGGAAGGAATCAACTAGGACAATGGTATACGCACTTCGGTTTCCTTCTTGAATAAATTTATTCTATAAAAGTGTGTGAATTTTGTCCAAAGACTAAAATGAATTTTAATAATTTCATACAAGCAAGTTGTTATTGTAGTTATTATTTTGATTGTAATTTTCGAATATGTAGGGCGTAATGGTCCGTCTAATGTTAGTTCTTGCTCCTGTAATGTGTATTTTGGGCGGAATTGGAGCCTCATCTTTGCTTCTTACTTACATGAAGCAACTAGAAAGTGGAAAAATTAGCGATAAGAAGTCTAAAAAGTTTGAAAGTAATTATATACTTCGAAGCGAGGTAATTGTACTAAACGTTACGTTTAATGTATGATATAATAATTAAGTTTGATATAATGTATATCTTACAGTGAGTGAATATTAATTTTTCAGATTGCTACGCTTTTTATAACGGTGATGTGTATTCTCTTCTTTTCGTATACTATTCATTGTACGTGGGTTACAGCAGAAGCCTATAGTTCACCTAGTATCGTATTATCCGCACGTTCTCCGGACGGTGGACGAATGATCTTCGATGATTTCAGAGAAGCATATTATTGGCTACGCATGAATACACCAGAAGTAATTTATGTTCTGATTAGTTCAATAAACTTGATAAAATAGAGTATATATATATATATTTTAAAAATATAATATTTAATAATTTATGAGAATTTATTATAAACTCATTTCTTCTAATACAGAATGCCAAGGTAATGTCTTGGTGGGATTATGGATACCAAATTACAGCGATGGCGAATCGTACAATTTTAGTAGACAATAATACGTGGAACAATACTCACATATCAAGAGTCGGCCAAGCAATGGCGAGTTCCGAGGAAAAAGCTTACGAAATAATGAGAGAGCTAGACGTGAATTATGTTCTTGTAATTTTTGGAGGACTCACAGGCTACTCGTCGGATGGTATATACAACAGAATGAATTTCATATGAGCTAAACGAGTAAATTAACAGATAAAATAACTGGGGAATATGGTTTTCAATTATATGAAATTTCGATCTATCGCTATTTTAGACATAAATAAGTTCCTATGGATGGTACGGATCGGCGGAAGTACTGAGAAAGGCAAATCTATTACGGAATGGGATTACTATAATTCCGCAGGAGAGTTTCGGGTCGACAAAGACGGTTCTCCAATTTTGCTCAATTGTCTTATGTATAAAATGTGCTATTACAGATTTGGGCAAGTTTATACCGAAGGTGGTACGTATAACGCCAAATTTTGAATTTGGAGATAATTTCAAGTTTTTGTAATTTAATGAATAAACAGGCAAACCTTCCGGATACGACAGAGTTAGGAATATGGAGATTGGTAACAAAGATTTCGAGCTAGATATGTTAGAAGAAGCTTACACCACGGAGCACTGGCTAGTACGAATTTATAAAGTGAAGGATTTGAGAAATAGAGGAATTTGAAAGTATATGGATTAATAAGAAAAGGGAGTAGTGCTATCAAAACTTTGTAAACTAGTTTATAATCTCGCTCATTTATAAGTTTTATAATTGTTTATGAGATATTAATGTGGCACTAAATACAGAATAACATATTTCCATAAACAGCGGCGTATTCGAAACTTTGATAAAAGACATGCTCGAACCTCATTGTAAACATTAATTTAGCGAACGTAATTATCGATTTATAGAATTCAGTTCTGGGAGTCGTCTGTATATTCATCGATAACATCAAACGACGTATTTATTTTAATATTGGCCACAACAATATACCGCAAAGAATATTTGAAGTACAGTATAGATTTTTATGCCGAATACTCTTAGAAAAGCATTTATTTTAAGAATAAAATTAGTAAACATACTCTGTGTTCAAAGGTTGATAGTGATTAATAGACTGCGGATCTTCAGGCAAAATAAAATCTTTGCAAACGTACCTACAAAAGAAAAAATATTCGAAGTCTGTTAAAAATTGAACTTACATAAAAATTCATGTTACCCTGCAAATATTATAATACAAAGTTTACTTTCAATATTTTGTTTATATTATTGCATACTGTGTACATTTCGTAGCTTCTTGCATATTCAAATTTCCTATAAATGCATAAAAATCCGCAGTTTAGTGATTAATATTCATAATTTCTTCCTATATAAATACATACAGAGAATCTTTTTAATTTTCAAATGTATAAAGACTTTTTTTTACATATTTTTCTTACATTTTGATAATTAAAGATTTAATCTATAATAAGACAGTAATCGTTTAGCTAGGAAACAAATTCGATCTAAAGATCAGTTTATATCATAACCAAAACAATAAAGCTCGAAAACGTTTACCCATTTCAACAGCATTATATCATGTAATATAATGCTAATTACCTTCAAAAATCATTACTGCATAGAAGTAATATGTATCGCCACGCCATTCGTATGTTTTAGGAATGCATGCTATACCACGTGTTACTTAAAGGTGTAACGAATATCAGTTTCTGTTTTTTACAAACTTGTATGGACGTGTATGATTCCCGGTGAATGTGAAAAAATAAATGTAAACGGACAGCATTAGATTTTATACATATATTTGACTTGATATATTTAACAGATTGTAAAACCCTTAAATCTTAAGGATTAAGAAACGCTCGAACAATAAATGTCTTTTATTTCAGAAATATGAATTCATTTATGCTAATTCGAACTGCGTTGTTTATACAATTGTCTTAATAATTTTATATACTTATTCGTGTCATTAATTTAAGAAACATAGGAATGAAAATGCTCGTTTAAATAATAGCTTTATTAATCAGTGCATGGTAAAGTTTTACTTGTAATTTTTTTCGATTATCTTCTAATGGACCATAAAGGATCTAGTTGACTTAAAGGGTCGATCGTTCCTTCTTTGCCTTTTTCTTGTATCGACGTTGAAGTCGAGTGTCCCGTACTGCTATTCGTAGAAGTTTTCTGTCGACCTAAACATATAAGAATATTATAATTATCAACATTTTCATAACGGATACTTCGTATCGTGCGATGTCCGTACCTAGTTCGGTATCAGAACGCTGAGCGCTAATGCCAAGACTTTGAAGAAAATCGTCGGAAGGATGCATTTTTCTCGAAGTCTTATCTTTGTTTCCTTTAAATCCTTCGAAGTTCTCAAATGTTGAACGAGTAGATGATAAAATGCCACCTAATATTTAAAAGAGACACGTCATATAAAAATATTAATTTGACATATACAGGGTGTTTCGTTGAAATTAGTATGGTTAAAAATCTTATGGATATTTAATGCAGCCTGCCAGTTGGTCAAAAAAAGGATAGAGCATCTTCTTTTCTTTGTTCTATGTTCTATGGTTGTACGACCAACGGGGGGGGGGGGGGGGGGGGGGGCTACGTTAAACTTACTGGCTTGAAACCTCAACTTCAAGGCTTTATATTGTAATAATGATCATATATTATAGATCCATGAATTTGTCTAAACAAATCCCATTGTATTATGGATAAAAATATAAAGTTCCAAAATATATAAGGCTTAAAAAAACTAATTTGTTTTTCAAATCTCTCCCACTACTTTACTTACAATAAAATTATTTACATCATATAATTTGTTCATTTGAACCAAATAGCTTATGTAAAAATATTTTTTTGATAGCTTTATCCTCTCGTGAGATATTGAGCCATTCCGATTTCAGTGAAACATCCTGTATATCATACAAAAATGATCAGATCAGTCATAAAACTGCCACACACCAAAAGTTAATATCAGTTTAAATTTTTCTTTACTTTTAACAAACTAATTCACCCCTGACGAGGTTTAAATGATGCAAGAGAAGTGAACTCTTATGTTTGAGTTATTTGAAGTCTTCACGGTCCAAGAGTCTTTATGCTTGATACTAATCGAGGGTTCCGAGTGTAAGCCATACATTCTTTGAATAAAATACTCCAATGATTTGCTATGGTTACAGTTAGTTTTTTCTGGGAATTTTGACAATAAATCTTTTTGAAAATAATCACTGTAAAAATTAGTTTGCAAGTCACAACTTTGAATAGGACTCAGAAGCAACGAACTAAAATTCTTTACACTTTTGTGAGTTTCTTCTATCTGATCGTCTTTTGGAGGTCGCCTTACATCTTTTGTTTATAGTCTGTAACCTAAGAGCTCTTTCACACAACGATACGCGTATGCAGGATACCGATGGTACACATAATGTTATGGAAGCGTTCAGACGCTGATTCTCGCGAGATACAGTATCCACGGTTGGTCGGCCGCCGGCAACTTTTTCTGCGTCGGGGCGGCCGACGAAACATTGAAATAGATGCGAGATGCGATTCCTCATAAAAAAATTTTAAACATATTATTGAAGAATTTACATGGATCGTTACAAAGTTCTTCGAATAAAATATGAAAAGCTCCCGTTTCTTCTCTTATATTATTAATAGGATGAACCCAATATTTTCTCTTAACTTTTCTCCTTTTAGTAGCTTTTTTATGTAGAAACCAAATGGATAAAGCTTCAATCTCATCCATTATTTCAGAAAGGTTTTCACTAACTAAGAACGCGTGTTTCTCAAACGAGAAGATATGTTTAACTGAAAAACAAATGATCAACACCGAGCTAAGAAATTAGTTGGATACAGTATCGCATAAGTATCTTCCTAGCAGATACTTATCGCATACGCGTATTGCGATACGCGTATCGTCGTGTGAAAGAGCTCTAACACTCGTGGAATGGTCGCCGTCCGATCGGAAATCACAGTAGACTCGGGTCCGCGTTTAACGTGTTAATTAAATGGTTAACCCGGAAGCCTCAGTTAGTATCAACCATGAATTTTTTGAGTTATTCACGTTTTTTTAAATTTCCAGATGGTTTGATTATTGATGTAAAATTATATGATGGAAATAATTTGATTGTAAGTAAAATAGTGGGAGAGATTTGAAAACAAACTATTTTTTTTATTTCCAGTTGGTTTTGAATGCCTTAACATACTTACGTTTCATTAAAATGTCTTGAGCGTGGTATAATACCAATTGATACGCAAATAACAGGGATTCCTTATTTACAATTTGTTTACGGCATTTCAAGAGGCCTTTGAATACAAGAGGTACATCGACTATTCCACATCCAGCACGAATATGACATACTGTTGCTGCAGCTACTAGAAATAAGCTACTCAATGCCCCGCCATCTAAACAGTGTACAACTATAGGTTTCGAGCAACGCCTTAGTGCTTGCTCGGTCATCACATCCGTTGAAAATGTAAGTAATGCACCGGGACTACTGGGGAAACCGCTGCAAAAAGTAAAAGATTGCATTCGTAATAAAGTAGGGCACAGTTTTCACATAAAAATTACATGTTAGCGTTGCTTGTTTCGATGACTTACTTGGATGGCCATGTAAGAAATTGCATATGAATGACAGTCTTTTCAGATTTTTTCTTATTATTATATACAGACATAACTCTCTGAATATAGGATAGATGATTCGTTCTCTTTTTCAACGAGATTGTAAAGCTACCAATATTTAAAATGTCTTCTTCGTTTATAGGCCAATATATTTCACCATTCAACTAAGAAAATAAACAAAAAACATTTAATATAATTGATCTTGCGCTTAGAATTTGTCACAAGTGTAAGATGTACATTTACCTGTGAATCAGTCGCTAAACACGCGATTATCTCGCTTTCTTGTTCCCAAATCATCATCCAAAACACTTCCAATTTGTCTGGTAATGGTGTTTGAGTAATGATAAATGATGTTGGTATCCACTGTGTAATTTCCATTATATGCGAACCATTAATATAATTTGGAACATCTGTTGATGATATTTGAACTCTTGTTGTATCATATGGAATACATTCTGTCACTCTGTTCTCCGAAGAATGAGCCAGTGCTACTGTACATGATTGCTTTCCACTTTCCCTTTCCTGAATTTAAATCAGATGTTTTAAAAGTTTACTGTTACAAAAGTTAGTATTTTAAGTTACAAAAATATACGAATAGAGTCCTACTTCAAATTCTTGAACCTCCTTCCATTTTATGTCAAGATTGGTCGCTCCACTTAATGTTTTAATGAGTAAACTGTCTACAAATTTTTCATATTTTTCAACTTCGCTAACGAATTTCTGTAAAACCACCGGGTCTCCTAGAGGATCTTTCTTTGGTTGGACATCATTGTACCATGTATCCCATACAATTTGTAAATGTTCATTCTCTACTTTATCTTCAGTAACAGTAGGTTGAACATTTGTTTGTTCTTTTTCATTCTCCTTTTCTTTGTTGTCCTCGTTGGTAGCATCTTTCGCTGTAGATACTTCTTGCGTTTGACCTTTATTGAGAGGACGTACTTCTGGTACTAACGGCGCATGATTTATCGTAATATCAAGATCAGAAAGCAAGTCCACGTTGGATTTCTCTGACGACTTTGAGGTGGATTTCATAGGATTTGAGCTCGTTGTTGTATTTGTTCCATTGTTAACAGCTTGCATATACGTTTGATTGTAATTGGTGTAGTTTTCGGTTTTGTCAGTAGTTGCTATTAGGGGAGAAAAAGTAAATGACGTAAAAATATGATTGAAGTTCTAAGATATTTTGACATTTAACGCTATGCACTCGGATGTCCCTTCTAAGGAAAATTTTTCAACAAATACATGTTACCTTGTTCTTTTTTATTCAAATGGCATGGAAAAGTAAATTAAAGTATATACAAAAAGATATAAATTTGCAATACATAGAAAGAAAGCATGTGAAATATATTCGCAGTGATATCTACTTCGAGAAAATCATAAAGAACATTTGTATAAGGAATAGGCGTATGAGCACACTTCACATGAAGTAGTTCAATTTGAAAAGATAAACAAGCAAACCTAAGATTGTAGTTTAAAAGAAAGGGGGTCTCTCTTTCAATGTATATCAAACTGTTTGTTATGTTACTACATATTAGAAAAATAAAAGATAAGAAATTTTTATTTTCTGTCATAAATATATATTCTTCAAGGTCAAAAGATTCGTGTAAACCATACATCATTATGATAAGTTACGTGATTCCAAAGTTAAACTCTTTAATATAACGTGATTTTTGTTTGTACATTTTGCAACGAAATGGTTCTGAGTGCAGAAATTAAAACGATTTGCATAAACGCTTGTTTATTGAAAAGAATCATTAGATATATTGTTAATAATTTATTTTGAGCTTCTTTCATAATAGAAAATAAACGTCAACTATTATTCAAGTAAAATTTTACTTATCTCTATGTCGATCAACGATATTTCTAATAATTTTTACACTTACTTTGAGTTTTCATTTGGAGACCATACTGTGTAGTGTAATAAATATCACTTGAACATTGAGGTTGATATGGCTGATCTGAATACTGAGAAGACGGAGTTTGACTGACCATAGAATTGTTGCTAGCGTTCGTGTATCTCGCGTTGCTTTCTTGCTGTTGATGACCATTAGTACCAGTACATGCTTCCGTCATTGATTCAGTAGGTTGTTGTGTAATTTGAACAGGTTGCGTTGTTTGGAGATTGTTAGAATTGTATTCATAATATTGGGTAGTAGAATTATAGGTATATTCCATTTGATCATTGTAAGGCTCCGCCGCCATGTTTGTTATTTGATTCCCTTGCATATAATTATATCCCTGATCATAAGGATTAGGATAGCCAGCGTAACCAGAATAATGTGGCTGCTGCGCATACTGATAAGCCTGCGAATAATTCTGAGTAGCCGATGACTTTGCATGACTCTGAATCATTTCTGCGTTAGTAGGACAATTTGTATATGAATATGTGTTACATGCTTCTGTGGACAACATGGTCTGTGGATACGAAGTTCCGGCGCCATGCTGTAAACTTTGATAAGTACTTGGATAGCTCAAAGAGGTATCGTTAATGGGTACCTGCGACCCATACGAATATGCTTTATCTATATATATTTGTTGACCCTGTTCCGTACAATTCTGCTGTGGGTATTGCACAATATTGTTGTTTTGTAAATTCGAAGAATACGAAGTAGACATTTCGTTTCCTGGAACAGTTAAGGAAATAGTAGAATGAACAGATTGAGGAATGCCTGCATTTATATATTGTGTTGGTATATACGGCGTGCATGGAGCGCTATTGGTAGTTCCGGACATATTTTTAGTCGTCGCGACTTGCTGGGAATGCGGATCAGACGGATTATAGTATATCCGACTGCTATAATTTTGTGAACCTGGAACTTCGTTATGACTGATTTGAGGAACAACGTAATTCTGCATCTGAGAACTGTCCGGTGGTAATACGTGCTGGCTGATAACGGTTTGAAGAGATTCTTGAGAGACAAGTTTCTGTTGGGATTCAGGCACGTACTGTTGTCCTTGTTGATCTACAGTAGCATAAAGATGCGATTGCGCTTCCATTATTTTGTTGACCGAAGCCGATGCGGGTATGGGCGACTGTGCTACCGAAACCTCTCGAACTTCAGTTTTAACGCTGCTAGTCTTCTTTAAATTAGGTGGATATTGCTGTGTAACATTACATCCAGTATAATCTACAGAAGGTTGATACGTCTCGTATGTATTGGAAGGATGGTTGTACTGTAGTTGAGTATTAACAGGGTACGCGTGCTGTCCATCTAAAGCTGTCGAGAACTGTTCATTCGATACAAAAGTGTTTACCGGATATGGGGCCCCGGTATTTGTTGTATTCGTTGTCGAGCCTGTTGCAGATATTTGCTGATAAGTACCGAGGGTATCCGTGTTCTTTATTTGCATATAATTTTGACTTAAAGCGCTGTTTACAGCAGGATTTTCGTTATACGTAGTCGTGTCATAGGAATATGGCAAATTTGTTTTGTAATCTGTGTAGGATGTAGGATAATACTGTTGCATAGGGTTTACAGCTGATGCCGTGTCTGGTATCGAAATTCCACCAGAATGAATTGTGTTTTTATCCACTGTGTCATTCAAATATGATTTTGTGGTTGTGTCTACCTGAAGTGGTCTACCTGGTCCTTTATATACGTTATAATATTGATTTGGAACATTCTCCGTTCTATTATTTAAATAATCTTTCAATTTAAGACCGCTACCAGATTTGCGGCTTTGATCGTAATTAGAGGATGGTAACGTATCGACTTTTTCTTGAGAATTCTTATTATCCTGAGCGAGTATATGTTCACGCTCCTCTTCCTGCACTTTGCAAGTGCTCTTTACTCTTTGAAGTAACTTCGAAATGTTTATTTCCAATTTTCTATAAAATTCTAAACCCTTGCTAGACTTGGCTAATAAATCTTCATACGCATCGTAAGACGCTATCAAAGAAGTAATAGTATGTTCACGACGTTTTAATATTTCTTCGACTCCTTTCCTCACGTTGGCAGTCTGAGCGTACGCGTCCGTTAAAGCTGCTAAAATATTGTCCTGCGCGGACAGATTTTGATCTATCAAAGTTACCTGTAACACCGTTTCTTTTTAATTAGTAGCTCGTTAAACGATTTATTTATTTGATAAGCATAAGTCAATTCTATCCATAGCTTACTTTCAAGTACAAACAAAAACAGAATATTAAAATTCATTTTAAGGGAGTATCTTCGATTGGCTATAGAAAAACTAGGGGTTTTATGGAATTTTATTAAATGAAAACTACACGAGATATTGATTCAAAACTTTGTACTATTAATGATTATGATATCTTAATAAATTACATAAGTTTGTTGCAAGAATGACGTAACTCAAAAGTCATGACTTTCCAGAAAGCGCAAGTATAGATGTTTTGAATCGTAATAATTTTGTAAAAAATATAATAATACCATTTAGTGCCATAGATTCTCATTTACTATTCTTTTTGCACTGATAATTCACAAATGGCAAATTTGATGTTGTGTCATTTTTGCAGCGAATGAGCAATAAATAGTTTTGAAAATATAGACTGTTTGTGCAACCGTGATAAAAAAAACTGTGAATGTAAGATAAATTTTGTCCAAAATGCTACATTAAGATACTCTCTTAACCCTTTGTTGCATAGCGTTGTATACTGTACAACTACAAATTAAAGTTATCTTTTTAATAAAACAAGCTTCTTACGCTTTGCTTTAACATATTCGATAACACTGGATCGTTAAGAGGTTCCTCTAACAAACGAAATTAATTTTGAATTCATATTTTGAATAAACGATTTATTATTAATACATACATGTTGCGAAACTATTGTTTTTAGTCAAGTAATTCATTTACTCAAAATATTAAAAAATAACCTATAAATTAAAATCAGTACTGGCAGACTTATGGAGTCATCAATTGCGAATCCGCAGTTGAAAAACCAAATTCAGAATGGCGGATCCAATACAGAGCACAAAATATTCAAAATAAACTGGGGCTTGTTTGAATATTTTCTATCTCAATGTTTTGAGTTGTTGGTTATGAATTAGTTGTTGAAAATATTAAATTCAAAATGGCGGATACAATATGTCAGACAGAATTTGTTAATATTTGATACTTCAGGGTTTCTGAAGTTGTTAATTATAAATCCAAAGTTGATAATACTAAATTTAAAATGATATCAAAATACTAAAAATCATTTCAGACTATTATGCATAGTCCATATGCATAATCAACAAATCCGAGAGTCTCCCAAATAAACAGTTTCACCGTAATATATTGAAGAGAAAATTCGTGCGACACAGTTAAAATGTAAAAGTAAATAAAAAAAATATACCCATAGATTTGTCGCTAAATGGACCTGGCGTAAATGCAATTACTAACCACAGTTTGATGTTTGCTAAGTTGGTCAGCAAATAAACGATCCAAGGGTCCAGAATCGGATGTGGCGGTAACTAATAAGCGTGTTAGGTCATCCTGCGCAATTGAGTCCCTCAATTTTCCATGCAATTCGTTTCTCTGTCTACGCATTTCGTCTACTTTATTTAAAATACGTTTCAGCTCCTTTGTATGCATTCGTTCTAATTCAATAGCAGAGTGTGATTTCTCGCTGTTTTGTTCTAAGGAAAATTCAATTTTTTTTTATTTTTAATTTTTATTAAAAAAGAAATCAATTTATCTTTCCTAGACATAAGTATAGAAACTAGTATAAAACTATGATATACCTGAAAAATATGCACTTGGTGAAGGTATATGTGTAATGAGTTCTGCAAGCGGCTGGGCGAGTAGTTTTAAATTTTTTACATGCATCGTTATTGCTTTATGCAGAGCATGATTACTCTCCGATGCTTTGTTGTGTGCTTCTTCGTATTTTTTAGCTTCTCTAGTTAAATCAGTTGCTACTATCGACGGCGGTCTTTTCCCAACGGTGTCTTGATACTGTTTTTCTCTGCGGAAAGTAAAGAAACATTGTTTAAATTGATGATTAACGATGAAAGTAATCGAATGAATTTCTAAATAATTAGATCGTAACTTTAATTCTTCATCGAGAAGAAGTTTCTTAATTTCCTTTAATATTTTCTCAACATCTTGACTGGTGTCGGATAATTTTTCCATTATATCCACTAAATCTTGAATGACATGTTGTTTTGCGTTTAGCGCCGCGCATCTTTCGACCAACTCGTCGGGAAGAGGTAAACGTTCCCATTCTGTGGTTTGAACATCAGTATCCCATAAACTCATGTGCTCGAGTTTCAAGGATGCCAAGTAAGTATTGAGCTGTTGATCTTTTTCCTCGACTTTACCACCGACAGAGCGCAATATTTTTGCTTTCTCTTCCGAGTACAAAGAACTTGCTTCGTGTACTTTCATTGGCACTAATCTATATCAAATATGAAAACACAAATGACAAACAAATATTATAGCATATATAGTTTGAACAAGCATGGATTATTTACGGAATATAAATATTTTAAAAGATCTTAGAAGTCCTGTCTTACGACTTTTGCTGCGTCAAACATGCATCATGTAGAATAATACACAATATATTATTTTAACGTTTTCGATTTTCTGGTCCAAAACTATCTTCAGAAAGTAAACTAAATTATTTGATCTATAAAAGTTCAAATTAAGGGTCTTAACTATGCTTATTCAGACTATACTATATGTCTCAAATACAATAAGGGAAATATACACATACTGATACAAATGGTAAACTTAAATTGTCCTTTCCTGTAAATCACTTTAAAGTAGTACGTACCTAGCAAATATATCAGGACCTGAGACTTCAGGATCATTTATACTAAACGATATTCCTTTGACTAATGACGCTCCTTTTACCGTGGGAAGCGTTTCCTTTTCAGGTACTTCCTCGTGATATATAAATTCGTTTTCATTTTTTGCTGCTTTTCGTTTTCCTTCTATCACGTCATTCGTGAATGTGAGAGCCTCTTCAACAATTGTTTTTTCGTCAGCTGCACCCGTTATACCTATCGACCCTTTTGCGTTTGCGTAAATTAATTGCGCTTCGTTTAGAGAAGCCAGTGCCACGTTATAAAATGCTACTCTTTCACCCATTTTCCTTTGTTCTTCAGCAGCCAAGCCTTGATACAAATGCGTGACTGCTAAGTGGTAAGCCTTTTTAAATTTTACATACCGTTTCCAACTCTGAAAAAAACGAATGTTTAAGCTTGCGCTATTCTGTAACATCAGAGCGAACAACATTTAAAAAATATACCTTATATATTTTAGTACCAACAGTATCCGATATGGTTCCGTCTTCGCTTCCACCTTGTTCAAGCGTAGTTAATGCCAGAGTAAAATAATCCACTATTTGTCTTGCGACTTTTGCTGCGTGATACATATATCTTGTAGAATAATACACAAGAGCAGACAATTAAAGCCACAAAGGTGTAATATGCTGTGCAAGTTGCAATTTTTTAATACATACCTACTATTGTGGGTTTGCGATTATCGAGCATACTCTTCTCTAATATACATTCTTGCGCTTGAGCCAGGCAAAGCTGATGCATAAACGTCATTAATTCTGGTGCTAAATCTACGCCAGATGGCTGTGGGTAACTGTTTTTTAAATGCTCAAACGCCCATGCAGCACACTGAAAATGAGCACAAGCTATTTTCATGCCATCTGCTGAAGTTCTCTCCGTACGTGCTCCCAGTTGAGTATGCATCGAACCAATATTATACAATATTGAAATTATTTCAAAACGGATATTCGCCAATGAACAGACCATATTCGCATACGTGTCTCTCCTATTTAAAAGCATAGAAATCCAAATTATTGATTTCTAAAGTACTCACATAAATTTACTTTAACCCTTTTGATATGCAGGACAATAGTAATCACTGTAAAAAAGTTATTTGTAGCATTTTAGCGATGAATTTAGTCATCTTCTAAATGTAACACCTACAGAGTAACTGTAGTCACTTTTCATAAAATATTTGTTTGAAAATAAATGACAATGTCAAGAATAAAAAATTAGTTGCAGTATAGACTGAAAATAAAACTTTAATTAGAGATAAATTAATGCTTTGACCCATAAAATCATAAAACTATTCAATATCCTTCTATCAAGAGGGTTAACTTAAATTCCAATATCATTCAAGAATCTTCTTACCATGTAAACGTAACTGCTGCTGTACCATCTTTTCCCATAGGAAATCTGCTTTGAAGAAAATGTAACTGACAATAATACTTTTTTAATAACAAACAGCCAGCCATATCGATGGGTGGTCGTACAGCCATCGCTCGCAAACTTTCCAATTGATATATTTCGTTTGAATACGATTCTGCATCTTCGTTGTAAAAATCACGTATATACTGGAAACAGAGGCAAAATAAAAACGTTTACAATATCCGTTATATTAATTGACAAATCATGACGAAGTAATAAAGATCCGAGCTATTTGATTACGTTAACAAGTTTAAAATAACAGTTCAATATTAGGAGTAAAAAAGGAAGGGATTATAAATAATTACAACACTCGTTAAAATATTGTAAATCCTTCGTAAGGTAAATTATTCGTACCTGCTTCAACTTTGATCTAAACGAAGTTATTTCAGGACTGACTTTTAATTGGAAATATATCATCGGCAATCTCGGTACTGCTTCCATTGTAAGTTGTTTTTCAAACAGTTATCGTGTTGAGGTTTTTAAAAGCTGACAGTTGACTAGCTGTCAAACATGTAGAAAATGAATTTGTGCACAGAACATATTTATCGTTATCACGTATACTTTTTGACGTACGATTGTACTGGCTTTGGGCAAACATTCATGTATACGACACCGTATACAAAACGTAATGTGTGCTCAGGACCGATTTTTGCAATATTGGCGCCCCGGGCAAGATTATCGTGGCGCCCCTTCAGGGGTATATACAGGGTGTCCCAAAAATGTTGTAACACCTTGAAATGGGTGGTTTGGGAGGTGATTTGAAACAACTTTTTCCTTAGCGAAAATGTTGTCCGAGGCTTCGTTGAGGAGATATTAACAAAAAACCCCGACCAATCAGAGCGCGAGTATGCCGGTTGAGCGTAGGCTACGCGCTAGGCGGCTACGCTCATACGCTACCGCGGCCGCTCCAACGGTATACGCATGCTCTGATTGGTCGGGGCTTTCCGTTAATATCTCCTCAACGAAGCCTCGGACAACATTTTCGCTAAGGAAAAAGTTGTTTCAAATCACCTCCCAAACCACCCATTTCAAGGTGTTACAACATTTTTGGAACACTTTGTATTCGTATACTAGGAACACCGGACTGCGACGCCTCCAAAAATCTGGCGTCCCGGGCGGTTGCCCGACCGCGCCCCACCCCCCTAACGCCGGCCCTGTGTGTGCTCAATGTAAAGATACGGTAAGTGTAGATAAAACCACGTGACTAGCATCAGGGTTGCGATTATTCGGTAACCATAATTTGATCAATAATAATTTTTTAGTTTTTTCGAAGGATCTAACGCACTTCAACGCTTTAGATCGTTTTTCAATGGAAGTTCTAGTATCGGTTTTTCATGATCGTTATAACGGACCAATGAAAGCTGATCACGTGTCATCACGTGTAAATGCATCATCTGCTTTATCTATTTAGATTCACATGTTACTTGCACAATATTCTACAACTCTTTTGGTTGCAATTAAAAATCGTTAAAATTGGATATATATCAAGTTTGTATTATTAGTTTTATTAATTCGTATTTTTGATTTATAAATATATCTTAATTTGCGGACATGATCATCGAATGTTGAAAAAATTCTACTTACAATATAAGTACAACCAAAATGTTTGAATTATTAATCAAAAAATTACAATGTAATTTGACGTATTGTACATACTTCAATTGTAGATAATCTAAGTGTAACCACGTTGATTATAAATAAAATAAAAAAATGATACGTATTAGAAGT